CCTTATAAACATGGATGATTGCAACCACCTGATTCTGACATATGTTCATAACTTGCAACCAATACTTCCATAAACTCTACGATGGCTTGCTAAACCCAGAGCACCAATGAATGACATTTAGAGAGTCCCCTTCCAGCAGCCAGCCTAAAGTCAGACAACGATCTTTCAACAATTCAAGCCCATGTACTATAGCCAACAAGTTAGCTTGATTGGTCGTAACTGTTCACATGAGCCGTAGCAGAAGAAAATCACCATGCCAGATGGGTCTCTCACAACACCACTGTAACCCGTTGACCCTGGGTTCACGTAAGAGCTACCATCAAAATTAAGCTTTGTACTACGGCTATTAAAAGGAAGCCATGTTCTATGAATTATTGGTCTATGCACCTTCTGTTGCATCAAATCCCAAATATTGTAGAGTATATCAATCTTTGATATACCAAAACCTTCTTTAGTATTGGATAACCATACCACCCATTTTGAATGATCTTCTCTTGGATTCAAGCTATCTCTAAACACCATCTTTCAAAAATGTTTCTATTGCTTTCAAGCCACACCTCCCATAAAATTGAAGCTCCTAAAATCAGCCAAATCACGACACCTAACTTCGAAATAGAAGGAATAGACAGATGATCAATAATTCTCACATGTTGTTTAGGCAAAGAAAGTGAGAAACTAATTAAACAAAAAACCTACCTCCATAATGATAAAGTAAAGTGGTAATAGAGGAATAAATGGTCTCCGGACTCTTCATCCTCTTTGTATAAGATGCAACAATTAATAATAAGTTTTCCCCTCTTCTTCAAATTTTCCACTGTCAGAACTTTGTTTTTTGACAATGTTTATAGAAAAATCTGATCTTGTATAGAATGCACCATTTCCAAATATCTTTAAGATTTGGTTGCTCCCATCTAATTCTATCATGGTATAACAACATATAAACATATTTCACCGAGAACCCCATCATTTGTTAGTTCCCTCACCACCTCATTATCATGATCTCGAGAGGCGTAGACTGTGGATAGATCATTCATAAGCTCACAAAATTGCATGAGCATACTGTCTGGCACCTTATTACAAATGAATTGAATATCCCAAGTGATCCTATCTGAAGACCAAAGATAGACATCTTATAACAAAACTTGCATCTTATAACACATTATTTGAACTGTCTATTTTTATGATTTTCAAATGCTTATAGATATTCTTAATTCACACTATTTTTTGAGCTGATATTTCATAATTAGGAATTGAAATAGATTTTCAAGCTATTGCAAGAGTTTATAGCGATAGAGCTGTACCTCTGGCAAGGTTTGGAGGCTCATCTTACTTCGATTATTTAAAATAGGCACCTTATAGAAACTAAACCCTTTTTTTAAGTGTGATTGACAAAATGGATGCAGAAGAACTCATAATTTTCAATATATGTAACTAAAACGTTATTAAAAAACAAACCAAAAAAAAATCCATAGTACCTTCAAGTTATTCTCACTTGCATCTACATCTTCTAGCTCATTACATTAAGCCCGTCCGTCCCCTCTCTCTCGCTCTCTCACGCACCACACACTAAACTGTACTTTATCTTGTAATTGAGTTTAGAAAGCCCAAAACTAAGCTATAACAAATTTGATATACTATTTCAAACTTAACCAAATTTAGTTTGTGGATTGATTTTTCTCATCAAAAAGTGATAAGGGTCTTAAAGATGATCGAGTATTGGGTTATTTAGGTTGCTCAAGTCTTTTTATTTTGCTTACAATTTATTATTTTTAAGAACAATCCTAAAACAATTCACCCAAAAGCAATCTATCGAAAAGTGTCATCTCTAAGATGGATTTTGGATCCAAAATTTTAGGATTTTATAATCTCAACCATGAAGATGATCATGAATCTGAAATTTTATTTTTTCAAAAATTAAAATTGACGTTCCGAATTTTTTTTTTCTACGATCCATTTTGTCTTTTAGTGGAAGCACCATTTTAGAAAAGAGTTCATTGGTGGGTGTTGGAAAAGAAAAGAGTCTCCAGATTCTATATCGACATGGAGAGAGATTTGTACAAAGGTGCGCTAATTAGTGTGCAGATAGCTAGTAAAGATATAAGCGAGTTTTCAGTGACAACAGGCATACACTAAGGATCAACATTGAGCCCATATCTTTTTGTTTTAGTTATGGAGGAGTTAGCTAGGTATCTATAAGATGAGGGACCGTCGTGTATGTTGTTTGTAGATGATATAGTTTTGATCAATGAGACTTACAAGTGGTGTCAATGTAAAGTTAGAACTTTAAAGGGATGCTCTAGAATCTAAACGTTTTACAATTAGCCGATAGAATATTTAGAATGCAAGTTTACTAATAATAGGAGTAGAAACAAGGAAATAATTAAGATTGCTAGCAAAGAAAAACCTAAAAGAGAGCATTTTCAATATCATGAGTCAATGATATAGGAAAATAGTGAGATTGAGGAAGATGTCGCACATAAAATTAGAGTTGAGTGAGTGGGGTAGAAATATGCAATCAAAGTTTTATGTGAGTGTTGTATATCAATGAAGCTAAAAGGGAAGTTCTATTGGATAATTGTAAGATCAGCTTCGCTTTATGGGACGGAATGTTGAGAGGTCAATAAACAACAGACCCATAGGATAAGTGTAACTGAGATGAGACTGTTGAGATGATAGACTTCAAAATGTATACATTTGAGGGGATTTAGGGGTGGCTCCAATAGACGACAAGATGGGGAAAAATCGACTTAGGTGGACTGGCCATGTCCAGCGTAAACCCAATACAGTATCAGTTAGGAGGTGCGATAGGAGTGATTCAGTTATTAATATATATTATATAATGTATAATATTATATAATTTATAATATAATATAATGTAAAATATAATATAATATAATATTCTAAATATAGAATATATAATATTATATATGATATTATATATATTATATATTTGATTAAAAAATAACTACAAAAAGAAGAGGAAAAAGAGAGGCATGTGGGCCTAGGAGCCCTTGTGGGCCTCATGCCCCATATACCACTTGGGCCCTTGGCCACTTTCCCCACATGAGTCATAGATATTTTTAGTGGCTATAGACATATTTTTAAATCCCTTTCGGTACTTTTAAATTGCCTGAATGTTTTACTGCTGAAAAATATATTTATTTTGAATGAAAACTTCATGATGCCAAATAAAACATAGAAAGCACTTTAGAAATTCATTTTACAGAATAGATACGTTTAAAAGTGAATTAGATCCTTTGAGTTAGGAATACATGAAATTACTAAGGCACCCCACCTATGCTAATTCCCCTGGTCCATTAGTCTATCTTCTCAAAATAAACTAATGGAATCTATGACCCATAGTTAATTGCAAGGGCTTATGCTTGGTCCATCAAATTTGTCCAATAAATAGAGGGAACACCGTCAAGTCATATGTAATATACACATGCACACTATTGCAATGGTACATGGGCCCGCTCTTTAGCACATGTACTTCTATTACCTTAATGGATGGCTTCCATAGATGAGGCTATCATGTCAACATGTCGCGCATCGGTAATGTTGAAGTTTTATCCCTTGTCCTCACAAGCTACTAACCACACGCAGGAGACCGGCTACTTCCATACTAATCTACCTGGGCATCTCTCTAACCTCAATAAGAGATAACCCTGCAAATCATCTATAGTAGTGCCTTACAACTGGGACTATAAGGTTTTAGGCTCAAATCTCAAGCCTAGGTCGCCCAACCCCGATGAGTCTACAGGCATTAGGAAGTATCCCTCTCTGGTCCTATATAGACCATACTCCCACTAGAGCATAGTATGACTATAGCTGTAATTTTTATTTGCTCGTAAGGTCTTTAAAGGGACATATCCAACACTCCACTTGGCCCATCTTTAGCCAACTTGGGCCTGGTAAGTTGGCAGCACTAGGTGAGATTATCTAGCATCACCTGAAAGTTATAAGGATATTTAATGCTTAGTCCTCTATACGATGAATTGTCATGCATCTATTATGTTCAAAAATAGAAGCCAGCTTAGTGACAAATATCTATGATAAATTGAAATTATCAACAAAATTTTATTGAATAAATAACTCTAATTATATTCAAGTAAAATGAGTGTATTAGAAAATCAGTTTGGATTTATTACAGGGAGGTCAACAATTGATGCTATTTTTCTACTTAAGAAATTCATTAAAAAGTTCAGGGAGAAAAGAAAATACCTCCATATAATCTTCATTGATTTAGAGAAAGCATACAATAGAGTTCTTAGAGAGATGATTTGGTGAGTGCAGGAAAAGAAAAGAATCTCAAGAGGATATATTGACATGGTTAAGGGTGTATACAAAGGAGCGTTTACTAATATAAGGACAACTAGGGGTTAGAATTACATCTGGGTTCAGTGTTGAGTCCATATCCCTTTGCTTTGGTTATGGATGAGTTAACTAGGTAACTATAGGATGAGATCTTGTGGTGGATATTATTTGTGGATGGCATTTTTTTATTTATTAATGAGACTAGATACTGCGTAAACACAAAGCTAGAAATTTGTAGGAAATCTTTAAAATTTAGGATTTTAATTATCCTGACTAAGACTCGATTTATTGAATACAACTTCAGTAATAATAGGAGCAAAACAAGGGACTAATTAAGATTGATGGCCAAAAGTACCTAAAAGAGATTATCTTGAGTCGATAATCCATGATAAAGGAGAGATTGATGAAGATGTTGCTCATAGAATTAGAGTTGTGTGGACAAGTAGAGATGTGCTTCGGGAGTCTTATGTGATTGTCACATAGCACTGAAACTAAAGAGGAAGTTCTATAGGATGGTTGTAAGACTAGTAATATGTTATGGGAAAGAATGTTGGGTAGTTAAGAAACAACGTATCCATAAAATGAGTATAGCTGAGATGAGGATATTGAGATAGATGAGTGAAAATTCAAAAGAGGACAAAATTCAGAATGAATATATTTGACAGTACTTAAGGCAACTCCGATAGGCAATAAAATGAGGGAAATTAGACTTAGGTCGTCGACCTAGAGTAACACTAGTTTTGAGAGGTGATTTGGTTCAAGTGGAAGGCTCTAAAAGACAAGGGGAATGCCCCAAAGGACATAATGAAAGTAATACAAAAAAGATATAGTGACTTATGGTCTAATTGAGGGTATCATCCTTGATAGAGAGGAATGACAGGGCAGGATTCATACAATTAAACTCTAAAAGTTGGGATAAGGCTTGGATGGTGATGATGATTTTAAAGCATGTAATTAACTAAACAACGACCTTTCCTCATAGTAGTATGTATTTAATTTGAAAGAAAAATTAGAAATTTGAATTTAAAAAGAAACATTTCATCGACTTAAAAATATCTCAAAAAAATAAAGAAGGGACATGTGAGGAAGTTTATAAGGAAATGATTACAAATATAAAAGTTAAAACTACTAAATTGGGTAATGAATTTTGACATATGAATTAAAAGGGAAAAGATGGGATTAGCCCACTAGCTCATATGAACAAATGAGCCCAACGGCCTAGATTGAATCTGGGCCGATCTGACGATCACGGATGTTCGGTAGTACTTGAATTTTATTTTTATTTTTACAAATCCAAATCACTTGAAATTTTAGATGTGTGTTCTTCTCATCAAGAATCACTTAATAAAAATATAAAAAAAATTATCCATGAAAATAAAATAACCAAAATACCCCTCAAAGCTTTTCAGGGGTATTTTCGTCAATTTATTTCATGTAAAATACTTGTTTGATATTTTTTGAAAATTCACTATTTTTGATGAACACAGGCCTAAAATTTCAAGTTATTTAGATTTTTAGAAAAAAAAATTAAAATTCAAATACTACCGGACATCCGTGATCGTCAAATCGGCTCAGAATCAATCTGGGACGTTGGGTTCATATATTCAAATGAGCTAGTGGGCTAATCCCATCTTTTCCGGAATTAAAAATCATTTCTTTGTCCCTTGTAAAATTTTTAGAGATTTAAGTGTTTTATTGTGTATAATTTGAATTCATATTTGTTAATCCCAATAAAAATTGTTTAAAAAATAACATCTTTAATTTAATATATTGAAATTTGATAATATTGAAAATTGATATTATACAGTTAACTATATGCAGGCTCGCTCAATCTGCCAATGAGATTGCAACAGTTATGGCTCCTTTTGGCGCAATTCTTGCTATATATGGGCACAAAGCTGAGTTTTTAGGAAATGTAGAAATGGTGAGTCAGGGCAATTTAGTGTTTGTTCTTTCCCTCTCATTCAATCTGCTACTACTTGTTTCTTTTGTTCATTAATGACACATGAATGTTGAATTCTCCCTGAGACTAATTGCAGGAATTTGTTTTCTCTAACTCACAATTGCTTCCAATATCTTCATTTTCTTCTATTGCCAAGCCTCATGCATTTGTATTCACTTACAATTGCTTCCATTCAATTCTATAAATGAAGGCATATGCGAGTCGATACCACCCATTCTATAAATGAAATCATATGCAACTCGATCGCATGCTGCAGTTGCTGATGAAATTGTCCATTTAATTCTATAAATGAAATCATATGTGACTCGATCCCATTCTATAAATGAAATCATATGCAACTCGATCCCATGCTGGAGTTGCTGATGAAATTGCACACTTCCTGACCTATGAAAATCTGCCTGTTAGTTCGTGTGATGTTGCATAGCATGAATACTTTCCTCCGATGCCTTTACAATTTGATCAAGACCCAATATCTCTTTAAACATTCAATCAAATAGATAGTTCTGGTGGGGGTCGGCCTTAGTCAACTTCAGAACATGTCTTTTTGGTTGTGGACTAGAATGCCATACTATTCCACCATTTCACTAGGATAACCCTCTTAAGTATTTTTAACTCTCTCTAGCAAAGTACCACAAATACAACTCCAAATCGCGGTTTATTGTTTAGGGCTTTAAGACCACTAGGCAAGAGTTCATGGAACTTCAGGTTCTCCCATGGTGTTTGAGTATATTTTGTATCAAGACATCTGAAATTGACATTAAACAAGTTTGATCAAATACAGAGCACAAGAGTGGGCTATAATGCTGCCAAACTATCCCGACAGCATGGTATTAAAACCCAGGATGGACATCAGGATTCTGTATTATCCAATAAACTCTTAGAAGGCAGGGAAAGTGGGGGGATGGGGGATCTAGAGAACAATAACTTGCCAAATACAGAAGCATGGGTTTAACCAATCAATCAAGCAGATGACATCAAATTCACTAGAACTTCCAGAAACCACTGAAGACATCAAAATGGTCTTATATAGGAGTCAAATCATGATGTTCCTTTTAATATGCGATATGGTACCTCTAGAAAAAAAAATAATGAGTTTCAGACGGTGTCGTGATGTTGAAATGACACATAGATGATGGATGAGAGTGATGATTAGAACCAAAACCAAATGCACTTAGAATACAATCAAAATTTGCTAAAGTTTGATCTAGTATGTCCCTATACCCTCCAAAAATCATGTCATTCTCATATTGGATGCTTGAGGTATGGGATTCCAAAGTCAGAAGTCACTGACCGGGCTCTATTCATACAGTCGGGGGTCCAGTTATAATTGATGTCTGATGAGGATCATAGATGGACCCTAAAAAACATCATGTTTGAAATTTTATGGAGATTTGACATCATTTGATACTAGTTTTGAGAGATGTATTGAAAATATAGGGTTGATGATTTGTTGGGATATGATCGGTAGTCCAAAAAATAGGTTACTTAATAAAATTACCCCTCAATGACCCTACTTGTTAGAGGAGTAATATATAAAGAGAATTCCAAATAAACAGTCTTCGATGAAGTTGAAACTTGGTGGGATGAGGGACAAACTCCTATAAATGTTATGTCACAAATTTCATGCGATCTTATAAATATTACGGTACAAATTTCATGCGATCTGACATCTTTTGGTTTTCAAAGGAGTTATTGAAAAAATACAGTTGACAAGTTTCAGGGATGTGATCAGTGTGTTCTTGGGCATACAGTAGGTGAACATTTTCAGTCCCCAACACAAGACCTTCTGGACCATTTTGGTCATATCTCCCAAAAACCACAGTGAGATTAGTTGAAATTTAGATGGATTATTGCTTTCTTACCATCACTTTCTTATCTGTGCATGCGTGTGTGTGTGCGTGTGTGTATTGGGTGGGAATGGGGGGTGTAGGGTGTGTGTTATTTTCATGGATCAACATTAGGTTGAAGATCAAATCAGGTGATCAATAGGGCCACTGCTGGTTGTGGGTTGCTTGACCTCAGGCCCCTTCTTTATAATTTCTCGTGACCTACATGGTAGTTGGAGCTGAACATTTGCATATAAGCTCCTCACTCCATCCTCTAAACATCAATATAACTCAGGAAATGATTATTTGCAAGATTGAAAAGCTGATTAACTCCATTATCATTAGGAGTGTTTCATGCAACTCAAGCCAAAAGAACCTAAACACAATCTTCCACAAATATATTGAGAGAAACGCCATGAATCCCAAAGAAAGTATAACCAAAATATGATGGGAAAGTTGTGGTATGAGGTGACTTAAGACTACTAAAATGTTCACACTAAAACTTTATCCTTTAGTTCAAAAATCGAGGCAAACTTTGATTTTTCACCTGATACCCCAAGGCTTGGCCATTTTAGGGGTCAGAGATTGGTGGGTTGAAAACTTGCTCAGCCCTAACAAATAAACTTCTATCATAGACAACCCAACCACTTACTCATCCTAAAATTAGGCTAAACTAAGCTTGAAACCTAGTTAATAGGCAATCGAACTTGATTTAAGGCCCAGTTTCCTTCAACTGGATCAAACCCACTCCAAATGGAGCACACTGCCACCCTTTGCACATGAAACAAAGGGCAAAAACTAATAATTATAAAACTTGATTGGGAGATGTACTGTGTTTCTTCTACGTCCCCCTACTCCTCTAACCACTTTGGTGAAAAGCAAGGGCGACCATGGATATCATATATGTTAGGGGTTTAAGAGGGCTTAACATTTACAGGATCGAGAAATTCCAAACAGCTTTTGTAAATGTTGATTTTAATTCGAATTGTTGCTTTCTAGTGGTATTTTCTATAGTAATTTGCAGTCTCTTTTATGCTTTAACAAACAATCACATGTATGCACACACCATCCCACTAATTCTTTTTCTAACACTTTTTCTCTCTACAAAATAACCAATATATAGAGAAAAACAACCCCCAAAAAGTGGTACCTATATCCTCCTACACTTCTCCTAATTTTTTAAGAAACCAAACTTGATCTTTATATCAGTGGACTAATGCCTCATCCTAATCTAAATAAGACCGCCTAAGATAAACTCCTAAAATTAGTAACTTAATTGGAATCCCAACTAAATAGGAAACCACTAAAAAATAGGAGACAAAAAAAAGTAAAACCAATCCATAAAAATCTAGGGATTCAAGCTAACTTAACAGTTATATCCTGTGAAATTTGGCAGCAATGCTATAAGAGGAGTCATAAGCCTATGGTCAAAGATTTCAAGTCATTACCTCAATTGAAATTACACACTTTCTTTTATAACACAGAACATATTTTTATACCCAAGGAGCATTGGTTATTATCTCAAATTTCAAATGGTTCATCAGCTATCGAATGAACAACCGTGGCCAACTGTTTGTTATTTTCATTTGCAGCATAACGGCTTTCTTCACAAACTAAGTCTTCTACTTTTCATAACTGCAACGCTTGTGCTGATGCTAGAAACACTAAAAATTGACATGTAGGTGTCTTTCAGGGGGATGTGACGATTGCGCTATGGATTCGATTATTGGGCGGAGTTGGTGCCGCACTGGGATTCTTCCTGTGTGGCTTGAAGCTTTCGCGTTGCTTGGGCTCAAAGTTGACATATCTTAGCAATACGAGAGGCTTCAGTGCACAGATATGTGCAGTTATTATAATAATCGTTATGACACAGTGCAATCTTCCTCTTTCAAGTACCCATGCTCTTGTTGGATCCATCTTAGGAGTTGGGATAGCAGACAACTATAAGGTAAATGAATGTTGTGCTATGTTAATCACCAGATGGTGTATGTCACAGCTTGATTATAAGAAATGTATATAAAGAGATTATTTACTTTTAGTACAAAGAAGTCACAATAATTCTTGTCAGGTAGATTTCAAATTGGGTGGTTGTTAGTGTATTATGGACTAGTCTCAAAGTTCAAAAATGAATCTCTCGATCCTCATGACACACCCCAGGCCATCGAATTTGAAATCTAGTGGTTATGAGTGATTGTGACCTTATAACAATAGTAAATAGTTTCATAATTTATAATCCCCTTAATTGCGTACTTCTTTTTTATAAGTTTTGTTTTATTTTAGTTATTTATTTATTTTTGTGTGTGTTTGTGGTCACTTGTTTCATCTTAATTGTCTTAACAGAATGTGAATTGGAAGCTATTGCTAAGATTCATAGGAGGGTGGATTGGCACTCTCTTCATTTGTTGTGGGCTTGCTTCTGCAATCTTCGCATTTACCATATATTCACCAGCTTATGTAGTTCCTTGAAAAGTAAGTGGTAGGAGAACCTGTAGCACAAGGAGTTTCACTTCTATATTCTTTGAATTTGCGATGAAAGAAAGGGGATCAATTTTACAGGTCTCGGTTTTTTTTTTTCAACGTATATTTGCAAAACTGTTGGGTGTTATGTGCCCTCTTATATTGCGAAAGTAGGAACCCCAAATATTAGATCCCATCAAGACTGTGTGTTTAACCGAATAGAAGTAAAATTAGCGAGAGTACAGACCATAATTCAAGCATGAGAAATAAAACACAAGATCGCACATACCACACAAGCACAAATATGTATGTGGCTCACCCTAAAAGGGCTACATCCAAGGGCAAGGATTACTAAACAATAATAACTACATGATTTGGTGGTAAGAAAATACCAATACCCAATACCTATTGGTTCACCGAGATCACTGATCACATTCATCTCTCTCTCTAGAAAAGTAACATCGAGTAGATACCTTATTTGTTTCGAGCATTGTCTCTCTTGCCTCCTTTCTTCAAGAGGATCTCTCTTAGCTTCTTCTTCAAAAGGTACTTGCTCTTGGATGTAGGATTCTCAGGAACCCCTCGTATGTGGAACCGGAAATATCAAATATTGGGATCCCACCCAAGATCGTGTACACAATTGTAAGAAACCAGGAATCTCAAATATTAAGATCCTACTCAAAATCGTGTACACAATTTGCTAAATGTAAAGTAGATGAATACAACTATAAATCGAGTGTAAGAAAAAAAGCAAACACAAAAAAGTACACCCTCACAACACTCTATTTATATGTTTAAACCCGTTGGGTTACATCCATGGCCTTAGCAAGTAAAAATCAACTATTGCAATGAAGATTATATTTTTGGGTTATAAGATATATATATTTCTTTAAACATCGGTAAAAAAAAACCATTACCAATCTTCCATTTTAAACTCGCTCTCTCGATCGAACAACACCATCAATCAATACATTTTCTATCACCACAATATGTTATCGGAAAGATAACTCAAGAGCAATCAAGAGATTTTCGTTCTAATCAACTCAAAACTCATGGGAATACTGCCTTTCTCTTGGATGTCATATATCTCTTTTAGAGATCCATCTCTATCTTGGAGATCCCTTCCTATAAGAGAGAGACCCATCTCCATCTTAGAGATCCCTTCCCATAACCTCTAAAAATATGACTCTAAAAAAGATGAGTATTATGCTATTCTTGATATCTTTTTATAGATATCATTTGAGCTTCTTTCTTGCCCCCTAAGAAACCCTTTTGCCTTTTACCTTAATACCTTTAATCTTTTAATGAAAACATAAGTACGGTAAAACTGACTATCACTTAACCTAACATTGGTTTCCTTTATTTCTTTTGTTTCCTTCTTTCTTTAAGAGGATTTATCTCCCATTACTTCCTTCACCAATAAGCAACTCACCAAGGCCCCTTACACAAGGGCCTTATATAAACTTTATTCAAATCCTAACTCAATCTCCAATAAACCCATAATATCATGATTCTCAATAACTTAGTTATAAGAAGATATTGATTGACTAAATAACGAGGATTGCATCCCACCATTATATAAAACAATATCAATCAAGTTTCTACAAAATAAGAACATGCAAAATCATGTATCCTTGTTTTATTCAAGCCAATCTTCGTTAATAAAAAAAACTTCTATGGCGTGGTAATTTTTGGTGTCACTACCTCAAACGAAGAGGAAAGAAAGTAAACAGATTTGATAGTGATTATTACATGCTCCGTTTATTTTGGTGGTAGCAAACCCAAAGTGTAATTTTAAAAAATATGAACTCCATAGAAGACGGCTATTTGATTTCCAAATTCAATATTTCCTTTTCCACTTTATAATCGTCTTAGGCTTTCATTTGAAATAAAACATGCTATTCGATAATTTCTCCTTACTTCTCCCTTCTCTTCGTCTCTTATTCTTTTTTCTTGTTTGGTAATTCAATGGGGACGATAGGTCCCTTCCCGTTTTTTTAAATAGTTTAGGAGTTAGCATTTTGAAAGTGTCAGTGGGGTAGTGTCAGTGGGAATGAAAACCGTGGTGACTTGGGTGTGGGGGGGCTACCACCACAACCCCAGCCCCTTTCCCTCTTTTTTTCATTTCTTCTTAATATGATTGTATGCCCTTTATCTTTGGTATAAAAATGTCGTAATCGTACCTATCCATCGCATGGGATATCGAATGGATGGATACGTGCCATTCTCCACAGTCCAAGGATGTTTTTTTACCCGTACAAAATCGACTTCGAGTGCGATCACTGGGGCTAAATACTAACTACTCCATTCATATCTAACAGCTAAAGATGACTGTGATTTTTTTGGTCCAAAAGAAACAACCTAACTATAAACTCTCTATTTCTATACACAACTAGTAAATATTAGTTGACTTTAAAAAGTCACCACGCATATACCCAACTCTTGGGGTCAGTATGGATATTTTGGCAATTGATCTTGTTGGACGTCTTTAGAGAACTTAGTTGGACGTGTTTTAGAGAACTTAGATTTTTCATTGATGCTTTGTTTTGTGTTATCAAGAAGTATATGATTTGATTTTGGGTGATTTTTTCATTTGCCATTTGGGATGTCTAAGTATCTCTTAGACAATAAGAGGTGGTTTGTGAAGAAGATAAGGTGGATTGTGAACTCCCCAGAAATTTCAGATTTTTGATGGATGATATCACTAGATTGTATATCATAAAGACCCAGTATTTGACAGAACTCTCAAAGGACGCTTAATTCTAATCTTTCATGATCCAGATGACTACCATTTATAGAGGGTTTCAGTTACTCCCACAATCGGATATTTCTGTTATCTCGAAAAAGGCCCTCAAAATCTGGGAAAGTTATTCACCAACAGTTCGGGAAGTTATTTCTCTTTCTAAAAAGCCTTTCTAAATTAAATATGAAATACAATATTTCTGAAAGTAGAATTTTAGTAAGAAAACAAAATAATATGTATCATTTGTGAAGCCCCACAGCCACACACATACTGACATTTTAGTTAATAGTATCACGAAAGAATAAGAAAATGAAATCTTAGCCTAGAAAGTACTCTGTGCATACCACACCACTAACCCTTCCATATCTTAACCTCAACTGAGACCCTTTCCAAACTAATCACAAACAGAGTATAATAAAAACAAGGATTATGGTTAAAGTCTGTCTTTTCTGGAAGGCGGATGTTGAAAATAGGGACTATCTTTTTCTTCATTGCTCTTTTACATACCGAATAAGGTGTTAGGCTTTTCAAAAAATAGGTATTATGCAGGTCTCAAGCAACTGAATCTTGATGGTTTATTGAGATTTGGAAGAGTTATTTGGCAAATTTTCAGGGCATCTATTTTATGAGAAATTTGGTTGGAAAGGAATAGGACTTTTAAATGAGTACCTGTGAATGGTGAATTATTGAAAACTAAAATAATGGATACTCTTTAGAGTTGGTTTTGAGCTACCAAGGAGGGGAAATGTGTTTCTAAGGTAGTTGTGGCTCTTAATTTGTCTAATTCGATTAATCAAAGAGTGGTCAAGGTTAGGCCAAAGGGGATGGGAGCCACCGATGTTAGGGTGTGTTGAATTGAAATTTGATGAAAGTTCTTTTGGAAACCTAAGACTGGTAGGTATTGGGGGAATCACAATAGTGACGGTGGTATTTCTTCTGTTTCGCTAGTCCTTGTGCTAGCGTCACAACAGACCAAGTGGAATTGCTTGCTCTTTTACAGGGACTACAAATTTTATTGGACCGACGTATTGAAGATCCTTGCATCATAGAAGAGGATACTTTGAATGTGATTAATTGGTGTAACAAGAAGACAAATCTATTTGGATGCAAATAATGGAGTTTTTGTAATATGATGGAGGTGTTCTTTAGGCATGTTTATTGAGAGGCAAACAATGGTATGGATGATTTGGCGAAGCGAGGAGTATCTTTGCAAAGTTTACTTGTGTCAGATTATTTGCTGACCTGATCTGATTGTAATCACTCTTTTCTCTCAATAAATAGAAAGAATAAAACTTTTTGACAAGACAAAAAAAAACTTAACATGAGGGAAGAGTAGAAAGTGGTGTGTTGAGAGAGCAAATATGTGAAAAGGAAACTCCCCAGTCTAAACAATCAAAGTAAAGCGTGCCTTGAAATGGTGTCAAGAAATGTGATTTCAATAATGGAAATCTTTGTCACGGCCTTCAAATATATTTTTATCTTTAATTATAAAATTTAAAACTTTAAAATAATGTAGATCGAGCAGATCTATGAAAACTTGAAAATTGACGGTCGAAAAATACGTTACAAGATGCACTATTTCACTAGAAGAGGTTGTTTTGATGCTCAAATATCATCAAATTGATCATCTCGACATCAAGATGCATGGACATGAGAAAAAAAATAGATTTCAAAAAAAGAAGATTTATTAAGAGGGACTTTTTCAATCTGAAAGTTTGGGAACCATTAAAAATTGTTACATGATTATTCTTAAAAAAAAATTTGAAATTTGAGTTTTTTAACACTTAGATCTCACCATCTAAATCAATATTAAGAGTGCATAGAGGGAAAAAATAGGTAATTTCTTTTATTGACGTTAATATATTAGTTTAAAAGTTACATCCCAAAATTTGAAGGCTTAGTTTTACCCGAGGGAAGAAATGTACATTCAACTTTCGTCAGAGTAAAAAATGTCTTTTGGGTTTCATAATTACCCAAAATGGGATTTAGAGAGATGAAAGGGGACAAATGTGCCCAACTCTTGTAATCAATAAGAAATGGGAATAATCCATAGAATGCATACAACTGTTTGGAAAAGTAAAATAGAGTCGAAAGATTCTATGTTCCGGCATGACCAGCTTGTCCATTTACTCCATCGAGTAAAATCTCATCTTGTGACTTTTTCTAGAAACCCAAAAATTTTGAGGATTTAACTTCTTTAACCGAGCTATTAAATTCAAATCAGATAATTATGAAATCAAACTTCACGTTTCAAAATTGAATAAAG